TGGGACTGTTCATTTATGCAGGATTTCATCAGAATCATAAAAAGTCTGAAATTTAAGAATTAATTTTTTTTGCTTTAAAGGTTCAGTGTGTAGATTTCAGTGACATCCAGAGGTGAAGTTTCATATTGCAGCTAAATCTTACACACTGGAGCTTTAAAAGGTTAATATTCATTTAAAAGTTTGTTTGAGAGAAATGTGTTGGTGTCATGTGAAGTTTGTGATGTCTCTGTGAGTTCGAGTTCTTTCTCAGCGATACACATACGCAGACACACATTGTATGATGTTGCTCTATTAAACATTTCATTTTGCCTCCCCACTTCATTCTTGATTGTTTCTGAGCAGTAAACGGTTTCATTTCTCTACTTCATCAAAATGAATCAGGAGCTATTTGCAGTAGAAACACACAGTGAGCAGACGAAGCCACTCCGAGTCAGAACTCTTAGGATCTGACGTCACTGAATGAATCGATGAACACTGTTGAAGAGTCAAAGCCTCGATATGAGAGCTGCATCAGCAAAGCAGCAGATATTAATTTTAATGAGCAGGGAAATGTCAGATACAAAAGTTATAGAATGTAGAAAAAAATGGTCAAAGCTTTAATGATTTAATATTGAACTATTTACTCTTTCTCAGTGGGAATAATGGTTTTGCTGTGGCAGCACATTAACGTCACAGTGAATATCAGTGCACACACTGTGTTGTTGTCTGTGTTGATGCAGATGCAATAAAAGTCTCACATTACCTCTTTCCTCTTTATTGCTTCCCGAAGAAGCTCCACCACATCCTCGCCCTCGCAGTCTGTGGCCTTGAAGCCTTTGGTCCAGGTTACGAGAATCCCCTGCAAGAGCATTCAACACTCACTGAGAAAAAAAATCTAGAGAGCAAACACACGATAACAGTCTGAAAAACGGCCTTCTGACTAAATCAGGTTAAATCCTGTTACACGGGGGCCTTGTTATTTCAAAACTTGTTTTTTTTTTAAAGACAGTTTGTCGAGAACGTACTGCGTCCAAGCTGGTCTGATGGCAGGGGAAGGAGAAGGTGAAGCCGAGCGGCAGTCGAGCACTTTTCATTCCCATGTAGTCCAGGAAGTCGGAGATGCAGTGCACAATGTGGTCGAAGAGCTGGAAGAGAGAGAGCTGCTGTTAGCAGTTATTAAACGTAGAGAAATGGTTGTTTCGCTCATAGTTTAGTTTCTATGGTGAGAAGAATGTTGGTTTACACAAACTCCACAAACACACCCTCATAGATTTGGATGGATTCATCCTCCAAATGTGGTTTATTGTGAATAAATAAATAAATAAATCAAAAATCAAATCTATTTCCAAGCTGAAAAGACGACTTTTCAAAAGGAATCCTCTTCACCTCTTCTCCAGTTCCCTGCATGACCTCTATGGGGATGGAGTAGATTTTGTTGTGCATCTCCACTGATCGTCTCTTCCCGCTGCGAATCTTCACCAGAAGTACACGGAAGTTTGTCCCTCCAAGGTCCAGAGCGAGGAAATCTCCGTTCTCTGTGTTTGAGATAAGAAGTTGTTTATTAGTCCCGCTCTGGGGACGTTTGCAGCAAGAGTCAAAAGACGTCAGCAGGTAATAAGTTCAGGAGAAAGTCCTCGTTAGTCTGAGAACCATCAGATCTTCATCTGTTGCCAGTGAATCAACTTTTTAACTCTTTAAAACTTTAAAATTAAAAACACGGGTTGAACATCAGAAGTTGATGATTTACAGGTTTTAACAGCAGGAACATTTGGAGGTTCGTTAATAAAATAAGAGGCATTTCCTGTTGGATTTAAATGGTCCCGTTCTTGTCTGAACTGGTCTGTGACGTCAATCTCTCCACTGTCATTAGTTGTAAACCACAACTAATGGAGGTTTGGTCTCATGATGGCGTGATGGATCTTAGAGGAGCCTGATTCTCTTGTTCTTGCCTCATCTGCGTCTTGTCTCGTCTTGAACTTTGGAAAACTGCCAAGTGGTAAACCCTCCATTAACCACGCCTATAGGACGACATTTAGTTAATGTGGGACTGAAAAGCTGAGGATCGACTCGCCGACCCTCCGATTAGTGACTGATCCGCTCTACCTCCTGATCATAGTGTAAATAAAGATGGACGCCACGTCTTCGCTTCCTCCCACGATCCATAATAGGAAGATGAAACGTCTCGGACACGATCACTTTCATTTTGACCAACCGAGGCCAAAGTCTACACGGTGGCGGTCAGGTGATCACAAGCCAGTCTCAGCTGTCAATCAAGGGTCGGTTCACTTTTTACGTCATCAGATAACTAATTAAAACTGAGCTTGATAAGAACGACCTCAAATCACAGAAACCGTCTGTGAGAAAAATTTGGTTTGGTCCGTGTCCCATCTGCTAACATGGAGGAGGCTTATTTATGGCCTATACTGCAGCCAGCCACCAGGGGGACACATTGACTTTTGTGACGCTGTCATGTCGACCGTCTTTCTTTGACAGTCGGATGTAAACCAGGACTCAACAGATCTGATCGATTTAAAAACTGCAGCGACGTCTCGAATCACGTTAAAGCACAAACTTCTGATTTTCTCAGTTCGGTGACTTGTTGACGTTATAAACACTTTCCCTGCGTTGTTCGTGCAGCTTTAATCACGTGACATGAAGCCAGCCCCTCCCTTCAATCACCTGATCCATCTGGTGTGCTCCGGACAAAGGTAGGCAACATTTTGACCGCAGCTTCCCGGTGGCTGTCCTTCTTCAGGCCTCTCTCGATCTCCACCCTCATGCGTTTCTTCACCTCCAGCAGCTGGGCTTTGCTCAGCCGGAATTCCGCCAACGTCTGCTGGATCTGGCGCGACTGCTCCGTCAGCCGGTACGCCACCGCCGTCACCATGGCAGCACCTTTCGCACTCCCACTCTCAGACAGCAGGAAGCGCACGTCGGAGTCCGGGACCAGGCGACGCACCGTCTTGTGCAGGCGGCGAGCGTATCTGTGCAGAGAGCAGCAGAGAGAGGATTCATTTATGTAATCAAATCCAAAATCTTTGACATGAGGGAGGACACTGTGTACAGAGCGTAGTATTTGAGAGGATGACCTGTATTTCAGTGTTGTCCATTAAATGATGCGTTATTGTTCGTGTCCAGATACAAAACTCAAAGATATAAATGTCCGTTTTTCCTCTGGATGACAGAAAACTTCTGAAATCCCATTGAAGCTGAATAATCAACAAATCTCTTACTGAAAAAATGTGTTTTATAAATGAACCTAAATTAGAAACACGAGTGAGTTTGGAGTAATTATGTCAAAGTGGCAAGAGGAAAATTTTCCCCCTTTAAACTTTGTCTCTATATTCATCAGACGAAGGATTAACTTGCTGTGACACCACATCCTTGTATTTACCATAGATGCTCTGTTTGAAGTAGTACTCACTGCGGGTGCATCTTGTACAGAGACCCGTCGATGCCCACGGTGGTGCGGAGGCGAACGACTCCTTTGTTTTCCTTTAGGCGAGAGAGGATGCCTCCCAGCGTGGATGCAATCAGATTTGCTGAACGGAAAGACACGATGGTGCACACGTGCTGCACGGCCAGGCAGTCTTCATCTGAGGGCTCCACCCCGAGCCTCGTCAGGGTCTCCATGCATTTCTTCAGTCCTTCTTTAGTCCTGGAATCAGAGGGAATCATCAGAGTTAAGAATGTCGTCCAAGCACCTGCAGGACTGAGTCGTACTCCTCACTCACTTTTCGATGGCGGAGACGTGTTTGGTCTCGATTTTTCCTTTTGTCAGGAGCTCGGGGGTTATCCGACCCTCAAACAGCAGGCCCTCTTTGGCCATCTTGACCAGAATGAGTCGGACCAGCTCCCCCATGTACATCCCACTGGCCATCTTCTCAAACCTGAGCAGAGGGAACGAATCGTTTTGAATGTTAAAGGCTCAGTGAAGAACTGACGGGCTGGTTTTGCTCGACAGTTTGGGAGGCCTGTAACCTCTTCTTCTGTTGCGTGACAATGTGGTTCTTTTCTAGAATAGTGTGTGTAAAACAAAATCACAACAAACACGTTCCCTACACATTAAGACAACAACAAGCACACTACTTTATTCAAATGTCAGTCCTTTACGCTTTGGAACAAAAGCTCTACCGAAAACAAAAACTTGAGCATTGAAGGAAATTCTTACAGCTGCTTTCCTGGGTTGATAGAACCTCTGTCGATCTCACGGTCAAACTCTGTGCGAATGTCCTCCAGGGACCCGTCATCCCCGAAGGCCCCCCACTCGGTGTTGACGCACATCCGGCCTTCGTCTCCCTCCACCAGGTCGATGTGACGCAGCTCCTCCATGTAGCAGGCGTTCGTTCCCGTCCCTGAACGGAGGCAGAGCTGTGTGACTTCACATGATACCTTTGGCGCCCTCACATGTAGAACTGTGGTCATGGTACTTTGACCTGTTCGTTCTCAATTTGTTCGATGAAAATGTTCTGATCATGGAATTTTTTGAATTTTTATGAGAAAGTGGATTTCTCCCTGACGATCATGTGATCGACTGTCCTCACCGATGATGATGCCCACTTCACAACGCTGGTCGTCAAATCCGCAGGTCATCATGGTGCCAGTTGTGTCGTTAACCACCGCCATGATGTCGGCGTCATAATCCTGGAAAAACAAGATTTGTCAAATGACAGCTATTTTCGGTCTCTTCTACCAGAACTACTCCATCATGGTACGAACTAAACTGTCTAATAGTTTTAAAGGAGAAGAACCTCACCCCTCGTTTCTTGATGGCCTTGTTCAGAAGCTTCACCACGTCCATGCCTTCAACGCCACTGGCTTTAAACTTCTTTGTCCAAGTAACTAAAACTGCCTGTAAAACAACTGGTTTCATCAGACCAGACTTAAAGGTCTCACAAGTGGTAGGAAGATGACATTTGTTCCAGTGTTTACCTCGTCCAGTTTGCTTTGGGCGCAGGGGAAAGAGAAGGTGAATCCGACAGGAAGCTTTTTATCCTTGATTTTTTGCTTTTCCATGAAATCAGCCAGACAATCTGCGACATGGCCAAAAAGCTGCGAACAGAAGAGATTTTAACATAATGAGGCACAAACCTTATTATCATTAAAATTATTAAATCAGCAATCGATTGACGTAAGAGTAATAAAGTATAAAAGTCACTAGAATGACTCTGTTTTATACTTAAAACCACCTTTTAGGAGTATAAATATATAATACGTGATGTGTCAACGGATGGATTTACAAGCTACAATACAAACATTCATACTATTCTGTGATCAACTTGATTTCTTTAAGCTGTTTTCAGAAATTAAATTATTGCGGCTCCTCTTTGACGTCCTGACATATTTGTATTCTTACAATTTCCCATCTGTCCCGAGTCAGAAACCTCATCGACACGCCCCCTGCTGTTTTCTCACATGGACTCACTTCTTTCGGTGCAGGTCTGGAAGCAGTTCATGTTTTACTCCGTTCTTTGTAACAAGAATATTCTTATAAAGTCTGAACAAAAATCACTCAGTGCATCTGAGCCACTTTGTTAACAAACCTGTTCGCGTCTCACGTTACATTTTCGAGCAGCTGTCCCTTCCACATTTCATTAACCAGCATCTGTCCTGTTCTGTCTGCATCTCCGTCCCGCTCTGGACCGATCACACAGCCACAGACGGCCGCCCGTGTTTTGGTGATCGAGTTACGATGCGGCCGCCAGCTGTTCTCTCCAGGTTCAGTGTAGGTCAGGACACGTTCTGACGTCACTGTCACGGCCTTACCGCCGAGGTAGTTTTACACAAAGTGACCTTTAGTACCGCTCGGCTCCGACACAAACACTGAGTAGAAACAATCGACGGTCTGACCTGGGTCGGGCAGTATCAAGGGATTACGACACGAGGACATATTAAACACAGTCTGGTGCTTGTTTTAGCAACAGCCATCGATTTTTTTCTGTCTGTTTAGGAAAAATCAAGAATGTTGAACCCTGAGGTTTGAAATCTGAGGCTGAGAAGTTTAAATCTAACGAGAATAGAAAACTCAGTAGAGCCAATTAAATAAAATCTCCTAAATGTGCCTGATTCATTGATTCTCAACATCCTTGAATAATTTATATTTGTTAAAGAAGGGTTTAAAGATTCTAGAAGCTAAATCTAATTTTAGAAATTCTTTGGTTTGAGGAAATCTGTTCAGAAAGTTTTTGCGTGTTTTGCTGACACATAAACAGGTGGGAGGAGCTTCACCTCCTTGGCAGAGGTAAAAATAGAAGAGGTGCGGTCACCTGAGTCCCATTCCCATGGATGATGTCATCAGGGGTCTCGTACACCTGGCTCTCCATCTGAACCGGCTGCTTCTTGTCCCGCGTCACTTTGACTCGCAGGATCCGGAAGTTAGACCCCCCGAGGTCCAGCGCTATGAAGTCTCCCTTTTCTGACAGAACGACAGTTCAGACCAACTTTAGAGACGGACATGAAAAAGGCCGTTAGACGTCGGTGTCATCAGTTCACAACATCAGCCGTCAAAAACTAAGTCCTGAGATATCGAGGAGCAGTGATATATATATATAGAATCTAAAAACTAAAGAAAGTAAATATAAAAGTTCATGATGGATAAATGATTATAAATAAACATTACTGCTCAGAAGAGTTTTGCATTATTTAAACTAGGAAACTTGACTTTAAACACATTTTGAGGTGAATTTCCTCATTAGGACCCTACATGTGATCACAAAGATCACAGATCTATTATCAACGCTGGTTTAATCGATGTGCCGTTATTTGGATGCAGATCACATCCGTCTGCTGATCGTGGAAACTGATCCCTTCAGAAGCCGAGGCATGAAAAGAGACACAAACTAAAATGAGCTAAATGCAGGAAGCACTTCAGCTTGTCTCCCACTGCAGCTTTTTCTGTGAACAGGGCGCGCAGCCAGGTGACGAGGTGAACTGCTGCTCCAGGCAAGAAGCCCAAATGTAAATGGATCCTCCACAGAGAGAAGCAGCTTCAGATACTGAGCTGGTTTCATTTCACTCACTGAAACATTTACACAACTTGGTTCATGTGAAGATTTTGTCTTGATTAAAAACCTGCGTGTTGACCGGCTCCAAATGTTACGATATTTGGAAAAGAAGAGCGAGATTCCTGGAATTCATCAATTAGTGAAGTAGATCTTTGAATTTGCAAAGATTCATATTCTTATTTTCACACCTGAGAGTCCGAACATGTGTTTGTTCCCTGTTTCATTCGATCTATTAGTTTTGGTTTCTGTGTCTGTGTCTACCTATAGCAGGACGTTAGTGAAGAGGTTCAGCTGTTCAACGTCATCTCATACAAGACTTGTCCTTCTATCGTTTGATCTCAACCTCTTGTCCCTTGGTCCAAAAGTCCAAACTATCCAGAAAAGGTCACGGTTCAGTTTGATCCAGGCCCAGAAGACACCTCCTCTGGTCGCACTAGATTTGGGTCCACTGGTCTGAACCGTGGCACTTTTAAGACTAAACTGAAAATCCTAAAGGGGAAAGTACTGTTATTTATTTAAATACCCTTATTTTGTGTTTGTCTGGCGCGGATCTAAAGTGACTCACAATCCAAATCAACACTGGATGATGACACGTGTGTGTGTGGTTGTGCAGTGGGAACTGACCTGCGACCTTATGGTCTTGAGTCAAGTCCGAGTGACTCTGTGACTTTAGTGTTTGCAGCGTTGTGCTATTTATCCTCTTGACCTGACTGGAATGAGCTGTGGCTGTGACCAGGCTTGACATACACAAGTGTTATTGACTGAATGCAGAGCACGTGTCCAGGTTATAGCCGCCGTCCCACTGCGGCCTCAGTGGCTGTACGTTCAGCATACGTGACCCTTAAAGTTCATGGATCTCCGTGCATGACTCAGGTGTTGTGAGTTGTGGCTGAGTTAACGAATCAGTGGAGTCTCAGTTGTTTTTCAGTCTCAAATCAAGATAGAGATTTACTCTGGATTTGTGAGAGAAAGTCTTTTTACATTTGACTCTAATCTTATTACACAGGGG